AGCCCAAATGATTCTATGATTCTATGAAGGTGGTCTTCTGCCCTGCTTGCCTGACTTTCGCCACAATGGGATTGCCAGCTCCTGTGCTTCTAAAAGGTGGTTCTTAAAGACTGACCAGCTCTCATGGATCCCTAAGCCCTCAAAAGCAGAATCCCAGGGGACACTGCTAATCAGCTCCCTCAGCAGCTTAAAATTGCTCTCTTGAAATCCAGGGTAGCAACTCTCCTGACCTTTTTTCTCATTACAACAAAAAATTGAAACTTCACCATTTCATGATCACTGTGGCCAAGACAGCCACCTACCATCACATCTCCCATGAGCCCTTCTCTGTCCACAAAGTCAGTCTAGGAGGGCATTTTCCTAGTTGGCTGTGTACTTGTGACAAGAAATTATCTTCAACCTACCTCTGGAATTTCCCAGACCTGCTTGTCACAGTGGTCTCGTATTCCCAGTTGATGTCTGGGAAGTTGAAATCTCCCATAAGGACAAGGGCTACCAATCCAGAGATTTCTTCTAATTGCCTACAGAATAAATCATCAGTGCTATCATTGTAGACACCCACTACAACATCTGCTTTGTTTTCCACTCCCCCAATCCTAATCCAGAGGCTCTCCACTGCCACATCTCTAACTGTAAGGGCTGTACAATCAAACATCTCCCTTACATACAGTGCAACTCCTCCACCTCGCCTGCCCTGCTTATCCCTCCTGAACAGCCTACAGCCCTGCATCCCAGCTCTCCAGCCGTGGGACCCATTCCACCAAGTCTCACTATTACCAACTACATCACAGCCCTGGGAGCTGACCAACGCTTCCAGATCACATTGACTGTTTCGCATGCTGTGTGCGTTGGTGTTCTCCTTGTTTCGGCTGGGATAGTTAATTTTCTTCCTAGTAGCTGGTTACAGTGTTGTGTTTTGGATTTAGTATGAGAATAATGTTGAACACACTGATGTTTTAGTTGTTGCTAAGTAGTGCTTACCCTAAGTTAAGGACTTTTCAGTTTCCCATGCTCTGCCAGCAAGGAGGTGCACAAGAAGCTGGGAGGGAGCACAGCCAGGACAGCTGACCTGAACCAGCCAAAGGGATATTCCACACCATAGAGCGTCATGACCAGTATATAAACTGGGGGACTTGGCCAGGAGGGGCCGATCGCTGCTTGGTAACAGGTTGGGCGTCAGTCAGCAGGTGGTGAGCAATTGTAATGTCCATCACTTGCTCTTCTTGGGTTTTATTCCTCTCTCTCTGTTATCTCTCTTTTCATTACTGTAATAATAATATTTTACTTTATGTCAGTTATTGAACTGTTCTTATCTCAAACCACAGGTTTTACCTTTTTCTGATTCTCCTCCCCAACCCACCTGGGGTGGAGGGGTTGGGGTGGGGACACAGTGAGTAAGCGGCTGCATGGTACTAAGTTGCTGGCTGGGGTTAAACCATGACAGGTGTACAAGCGTTTCAGATACACTCCTAAACCCTCAGTGCTCCCTGGGGTTGTGTTAGCATTGCCACCCTCAGGCACTGCTGTATCATCCCTTGGCTTACCTTTTCTATTGTGTTTCAGTATAGTTTAATTGAGATGTTTATATAAGTGTTTTGCTACACAAACTAAAACACAGCATGTGGGCATTACCCAGAGGTTCCCTTTAAAATTAGGGAATTTAAAATTTAATTTAAAATTCCCTCTGAATTAAAATGCTAATACACATGCAACCTCAGATGAGTAAAGGTGTAAGTTAGTTTGAAACAGTACACTAGAGATGGCACCATTAAAACGTGACTTATCTGGCTTTATTATAGGTTACTTAGAGGTGCACACAAATGGAAATGTCATGCACTGAGATACTAACTCGGTGACAAACTGCTTTCAGTGAGTCCTTCTGTACATTCACCTTTAGTCTGTCTTCTCAGTATACAGCTGCACACAGAGCAGGACATTTATTATACACTATTTTGGAAATACCAACGAGTACTGCGTTAATCGTCCACACACCTAATTGCTGAAGAAATGTCTGATCACTGTGGGAAGCTCACTGCCATCCCACAGTAACCTTGTTAGGTAAGAAAAGACCATAAAGAAATCAGAGGAGAATTTCTTCCGCAGAGGAAATGTTATCAGTCCTGAAATTAAGAGAATTCCTGCAACGGGGTGTCGCTTCTAGATGTAGGGCGAGAACATTTCGTGCAAGCTTGTCAAAATCAACAGTGCTCTCACTAGTACTGCTTTGGAAGACATTATGGACCAGTGCCCAAGCAATTATATTCAGTTAATTTTTGTCTACTTTAGTGAGGAGGATGGCTAAATACAAAACCCCTTTTAAGGTTTGTCTTAGCAGATTGCAAAGTAGAAAAGTTCTCTATTACTTCAGAAAGAGAAGAGTATTAAATAAGGAAAATGGCAGTGGCTAATCTATTTAAGATCGCAAAGGTCGAAAAGAATTGCTGTATTGTCCCTTTTCCCTAGAGGCAGAGAAAAACTCCCCTTACGTGCAAAGGAGGGTAAAGGAGACAAGAACAGTTCTAAGTGGAAAGAAAACTGCAACCATCCTGGAGCTGGGGACATAGCAGCCATTAGCATCATTGACTTAATTCAATCATCTTGATAAAGCTGTTGCAAAATTAACAAGCATACCACCCCCTCTCAGAAACCGTGCTCGCATTTTATACCTTCAGTGTGTTGTCACTACTGTGCAAGAGCATCGTGTTACTATTAAAAAAGGGTTAACAGTTAAAAAATAATGCTCATTCAGAAATCCATTACACCAAAACATACTTTAGTAAATAGGCTTTATTTTACAACGGTTTTTTTTCCACCTATTCTTACAAAGCTTCCATGAGTTAAAGCAATCCTCCACTCCAGCTTTTGAGGCTTTCAGGTGTCACTGAAACAACTCAACTGAAACAATTGGATGTGTTTTTCTCATTTAGATTCAGCACAGCTCAAACCATACTAGGGAGCTTATAAGAGAACAACCACCCATCAGTGAAAAACAAAGTATGTTTTTCATCTTATGAGTCTTTGGGAGGAGGTAAAAGGACAAAAAAAAAAGTCTAAAACCTTCTGATAGGAAACCTCTTTGAAATTGGTCTTCTTGATGCTCAAGTAGTAATATTTTGCTTCCAAGTATGAACAGGTTTCTTCACTGCTTAAGATACAGCATGCAGCTACCACCCGTAAGCTTTAGTCCACACTGCTTTCTTCTTGAACTCTGCAAGAGATCTCAAGGCCAGAAGTGTAACTGTGAAGACAAGGACAAATGACATTCATTTGTGCAGTCCAGACTGGAAAGGATGTGAGAGTTTTCTCCCTAGTCATTTTATTAATACAGGTATAGATTCAGTTCTGCTTTTACTAACTCTTTTCGTGACTTTTTGTCTTCCTAGCCTGAACAGTTTCTGATGCTACTTCTGCTGTTCACAACGTAACACTAGTCTCTACACCACCCTGAAATATAATGTTGTACTGGGCCTTTCATCTGCTTTATGGCATGTATCCTACTGAAATCATATCACATCATCTGCTAATTAGACCATCACTTTGAAGTGGCACATAGTTCAACCAACACTGCAGAAAGTTTGAATTCAATGAGCAACGATGCAAGAGGGGAGATAGGAGGCGCTGGTAAGGACAAAAGCATAAAGTACAATGTCTTAAGCCATCTGTGCAATGCACTGATCAGAAATGCAATTCACTGATGCCTCAATTCAACCTGAAAGGATTGTGTTTAAGCAAAATCCAGTAACCAAACCAGTCACATCCATCCACAAGGGAGTTCCATGTTCCAGTACTTAAAAGCAAAAAAACCAATGGAAAGGCCAAGTTTCTGGTGGAGATTAGCAGACAAAACAGGGGAATTCTGAAATTTATCAGAGAGTGAATAAAGATTGCAGACCCTCCAAACAAGGCTAATTAACCAGATTTCAAGAAGCCATGTTTAGGTCCAACAAATCAGGTGATTCAAAAGAGGTGCCTTATGTTAATGGAAGGAAGCATAAGCACACTCACTTAATTTGAGACTATTTGTGGTGCCCTCTTAAAATGACAAGCACAGATTGTATTCACCATCCTACACACCTAGGTAAGCTAGAGCCACAGGCCATTACTGTAGTTCAAAATATCATGTACTTCCCATCATTCTTTTCATACATGTTTTCAGTAACCCTCATTCCTCTATCCTTTCTTGTCAGACCAGCCTACTAGGTTGTCATTGCCTGTCTCCTATCCCCTTCCCCAGAGTTCAGTCTTCAGTTGCACCTGTTATGCGATTTCTATGACTGAAATATGCTTGTAGGACCAGATGTACCTTTAGGTTCTTTGGATCTTCAGTCATACATCGTAAACATTGGCAGATGAGAGAGCAAATATAAGAAGGTGTTACAGACAGGAATGTTAACCTATCTGTGAAGGTCTCCTTAAAGACAAAATATAGCTCTCCTACATGTGCTAATAGTATAGATTCATCTCACTCATTTTAACAACTGGATTTTGATCTGTACTGATAGTTACGGAAAAATAAGGACCCAAGTAAAAATATCCTACCTTTCAGCAGGTCCGTGGAAGATTTTGATAATGCTTCCTTAGGACTTTCCATCATATTGATCAGCCAGTCAATAAACTAAAGATCGAAAATATAAAGGAAAATCTGAATTAAACCAGCCTTTGTATCAGAACACCACAAATTCTTTTCGGTTTGACAGGCAACATCTGATTGCTGCTAAACTCACAGTTATCCAATCAGAGGCAGTGGCCTATCAGAGGCTTCGGCTCAAACTATCTAAACGCCCTAGAGTACATCTCACTGTCAGTGTAATTTCTCCCATAGCTGGACCTGAAACTCCTTTTGTTCTTTCTCATTACCTCAGCAATAATTCTTTGTAATGAAGAAAGCACAGTAAATAGTTTCCCTTTGTCTTGTCTGTTCCTGCCTTTAATGTATTAATACGATCTTTTCTTATTGGCCTTTTGTCCAAACATTTTACTGCAAACCCTTCAGAACTCTTGCTGCCTTTGTCCCTCTTTTGACCTCTCTCATTTTTCATTGTTTTTCTGGCAGCACAGGGTGCCTGGAGGACAACGCAGTATTTCAAATGTATTAGTATGATTTTCAGGGCATAGTCTCAAATTCTTCCCCAAAACCTAATTAAGCACTTGCATATTAACAGCCCACTCCTGCATTCTTCCCACATTCTGAATTCTGACTTCACCAGTGACTCTGAGCACAGGAGTGTACACAGCCAGTCCTTAACAGATTCTGGTTTGCACAAAACAGCTAAGTATCAATCTATAGGTTTATAACAATATTTCCACATATCTCAACCACAAGCAATCTACAGTAGGCTTGCCAAATTAGGCACAATTTTCCACACTTATTTTCAACTTATATATGAAAATAAATGACATGCACTACAAGCTGCACAGGAGATCTTTGATTGCAATAAATTGCCAATGTGGTGAGGTCCAACTGCAGAGGATCTGTCTTTCAGTGTTTAAAAGACAGACTTGCTACCAGCAGCTGCCAACTCTCCTCTCTCAGCTGTACCCTCTTAAGAGTTTGACTCCCAACATTGGAATGTTTTTTGCTCTTTGCAGCTCTCACATTTTACTTGAGAAACTACATTCAGTCTTTGGAGATAAGTCATATCTGATTACAAATAAAGAAAAACAAGATCACAAGTCAGATGCAGTAGATAGAGAGGAAATAACTGGTTCACCTCAGACTTGAGCTGACTACTAAAAATTGGGTGCTTTCTGACTCTTGGAAAATGCTTACTACTACATGCAACTTTACCTTCTGTGTTTGTTCTTTCCAAGGCTCTTTAGCCAGCAAAAGGGAAATGCTGCTTGGAAGAAGAGTGAGAATCTCTTGCACGGCAAGTTTGTCAATGGGGTGCTTGCCAATGTGATCCTCAGATAATTCCGGTATTATCATCTGGTGCTTCCACGGTGACCAGTCAGAACTGAGGCCAAGCAGTAACGGTGCACTGTGGTCAGCCCAGGCCACCACAGAAGCTGCAAACAGCCACAGGAGGAAATCTATGCACTAAACAGGAAAAAGGCAAAAACGCACTTTATTGAATGAATAATACAGCAGGAGAAAAAAAGAACAATTAAAAAAACCCAAACCAAAAATCCAGATGGTGGCTTGCTCTTCAGAACAACAATCTGAAAATTCAGCTAACATTCCAAATGGAAGAACTAAAAAGTTCTTAATACTCTCTTATGCTTTGAAGCAGCATAAGCCTTTTTCTAAACTCCAAACGAAACTAAAATGTCTACAGGAAGAAAAGCAAAAGGACACTTTTCTGAAATCATCCTTTAGATTAAGGCTGAGCCACATTCTGTTCAAGATGGGGAAATAACTTCTTTACAGCAGGCTGACCATCGAGGGAGCAACCCCACCCTTGTGGTGCTACAAATGGTTGGGAAATACTGCAGCGATGTAACGAATGCTTTTCTAATCTAAGCAGTAGCTTATTTTTTGTCCTCAACCAGAAGATTTAAACAGCTGAACAGATGTAACAATGAATAATATTAGTTCCCTAAAACTGTCCAAGTCCTCTTAGAAACAGCAGCTTCACAGTTTTGACCTGCTTAGACAGTTCTACTGGTGAATTCAAGTTTTCCCTTTAATTGTTCTAAATACAGTAAATTTGAAGAAATGATTTCCTTTAGTTGCCTTTAGCTTCTATCATAATTTAAATGCCACGGTTATTTTAAAGTAAGAGTTTTAAATACACATACATTCACAAAAATGGAGAAGAATTTCTTTATGGAGGTAAGATGACAATCTTCTAAAATATAAAAACATGGGGAATAATACTTAATGCTGAGGAAGAATTATTTTCCTGAAAGCTGCAATTATTTTTACAGTACGTACCTCTTTAAGATTGACATTTTGTAAGGTTGTTGACTTGTATGCTAAATTTCTGATGTAGCCCATCAGATCTAGCAGCCAATCCATTCTTTTCAGCACTCCTAGAAGAAGAAGAACATTGACTCATATAAAACACTAGAATACACCATTTTTCATTAAAAAGCAAGCACAAGGAATCACTATACCAACAAAGCACTGACTGTGGAAGTACAATGACCACCAATACCACTATCAGGTTGATTCGCGGTTGTCACTGACAGAAAGCATACGGGAACTTAAACAATACAAACACTCTGCTTATAATGCAGGCAACACAGTAAACACACAGAAAAAGGAATACTGAGCAAGAATTATTTGACATCATGGCAGCCTGCAGGTCCCACTAACCAAGCCTGCTTGTATGACCAGCATAGAATCCTTACGTCTCACTCAAGTTTTTGCCCCAGTACTTCATCTAAGTCTAGCACTGATGTCACTGTACATTGGGCATGAATGTGGGAGTGCTGTGAAAATCCTCCTACAGGGCAGAGAGGCTCAGTAAAATACAGCCAAAGCATGCAAATAAAATCAGCCCTCAACCCAAGGCCAGAACATATTTAATTGACTACTGTCATAAAACATATTTAATTGGACTTCTGTCCAAAATCCGTTCTACCTCCTACAAACTAATAACCATCTTTACCTTCGAGGCCATGTCACTTCATACACTACCATTTCCTTGTACACTTTACATGTGCTCCCTTTCATACTGCCTCCTCTTTTACCCAAAGGAGCCTCACTTCACTCATTCAAAACTCACTACTCTCTGAAATTCTTCAACTAAAGCTGGCAGCTAAGGCGTCCAGCAATATAATGCTTTGAAATTGTTCTGTGAACACAGGCAGCCAAAGATCCTTCTCCTATGAAAACGAGGACACCTCATTCTTGCCTCCCTCTGCTCTTGTTTCTTCCTCCTTTATCTTCCTCTGTGATTCTGCTACTTCTCTTGCATCAGCTCCAGTGCTTTATTGGACCGTTAGCTGAGCAAGCCCAACTTATTAACCCACCAGATAACTATCTGGTATGGTTATGAAGTGGCGGAAGGGCAATTTGTTTCCTGTGTTAACTCAGTGCAAGGAGTTCAGAAAAGCAAGCTATCTCCTTTGTTCAACCATTCTCACAGGAACACGCCCCTACCTACTGTGTCACACACTGGTAAATCAGTTACTAGATCTGAGGGTTAGGAGAGTTGCACTATTACTGGTCTGTGATGTGCTATGTACATTTCTAATAATACCTTACACTGAAAGTCTAAAAAGACTAGGAGACACAGACCTAGTCAAAACTCTGGTCTGCAAACCACCAGGCTAAGATAAATGATTTGTAGCTGATCCACAAAAACATAAAGAATTGGAGAAAAACATAAAGCAATGTTTGATACAAGTATTAGAACAGAAAAATTCTGAAGATTTGAGTAGTTTCTAATACAAAGAAATCTGGAAACACTTGGGTTAAACCAGCTTAAAATAATTTTAAATGGATCAGTATAAATCCATCCATATCTGTTGATTTTTTGTTAATTCTTATTTAAGCCTGACCTTACCTGTGTTTTCATGGCTCACAATACGAGCATGATAGACACCGTGCAAGAGCATCCATAAAACATTTTCTTTCTGGTGATATCTTGCCACAGTATCAATCACGGCACTGAAGTTCATCAGAGGCAGTCTGCCTTGAGAAATTAAATACACTTTCGTGAATGTGGCCTTCTCTATATTGTTCTGCAAATGCAATTAAAAACCATGTTAGATTAAAATACACCCTTCTTGTGGGAACAGTAGATGCCACATTCCTCTTTATAAAAAAAGGGGAGAAAATTCTTTGATTATCTAGCAGGCTTATTTTTCTTCAAGAAAAATTATGAAAATGAAGACTGTAAGTTTTACTTTAATTTTACGTGCTTCTAAATATTCCAGCAAGTGCAGCTCAGTACAGTTTGATTATTTTCATACTGCTTTAAATTTTACATTCCCCTTTAAATTGAAATGAGCCAGCCTGACAGTTCTGGAGACTCAAGTCTTCTTGCAAGACAGATTCACTGCACTAACAGAAAAGGTTTTCTTAAATGGCGTTTTCCAGTGTGGAAATAAGAAGTCAAAGATATAAGGAAATGACAGTTCAGCTTCCCTAACCTATTTAAATGCTTGATTATTGAAGTGTTGAGGCCTGAGCAACAGGCCCTGAACAAAAGTTGACCTACAGACGAACATCCCAACAAAATGTTGTATAATACGTCCGATCATTAGTGAAATATGTCCGATCATTAGTTAAATATGTCCGATCATTAGTTAAATATGTAGCTTAGATGAAATATAGTTATTAGTAAAGATAAATATCATGAGAAGATGTTCAGCTTTCCTGTCTCGAGGCAGGTTGTCAAGGCCATGAAACCAGGTGTCTGGCCTTGTTTAGAAATATGTGGTCAAAACCAGACAGATAAAGAAGTTCCCCTGGTTCCTCCTTGAGCCTTGGCCAAGCTTTGGGTGGAATCTAGAAGGACAGCAAAACCAGAGGTTTCCACACTTGAAGTTTTGCAAGATGTTTATTCAACTGTATAAAAGCTGGACCCTCTTACAGCGACTTTGGAGACCTCACCTACGAGTGGACGCACTACGTAGAACCTCCCAATTGCTGGGACAGGTTCTCCAAATCCTCACTGTAACCAGGGCTCCCCAGCGATTGCGGATCTGGATGATGGTAAAGTATTAGGGCAATTGGTGCTGCATCTTTCTTAATCACTATAGCTAACTCTATGTAGTAATGATCAGATGCATTAACCTGCCTATTTCCTTTGCTGCTTAAAGCTAGAGTGTAATAAGCCTATTGTTTTAAATAAATGCATTGCCTTATTTCTGTATTATCTTAATATAGACAGTAAAATAAGCCTACTCCTTTTGTTGGTGTCTGTGTCCTTTCTGTTGACCCCATCTGTGGGCAAAACAATTATCTAGTGAATCGGTCAGTAAACAGAACAACATGGTTTTATGTCATGGATATTTGTCTATAACAACCTGATCTGAAACCATCAAGTCCTTCCACATAGGCCATTTCCTTAACATTTCAGCTGCTGAGAATTCCACTGCTAATTGATTCCACTGCTGAGCTAGAAGCTGAAAGTTTTTCTGTTCCATTGTCAACCTTAGCCATCTTGTCCACCAGCAAATATTTTGAGCGTGAATGCAAATATAGCACATTAAGCCAATAATGAAAGGTTGTTCAGTCAAAGTATTTCCCATTTTTAATAGAATCAAGGATGCACCAGTTCAGGCACAGCTAGTCAGCAGGATACATTTACAGTCCGTTTCAAGTAGGTGGTTATGTTAACCAAAGAGGACTATGGTCTGCATCATTGGTCTGGGATTTAGAAGATCTAACATCACTCCTGTTCTGCTAACAGAGCCCTGCCTGAACTTGACCAAGTTAGACTCTCCAGTTCAAAGCTCCCAGGTGTAATCAGTAGTATTTCAGTTGCCTTGAGAAAGTTGGATATGAGCTCTTATCACTTTTGCTTCTCTTGGCTGCCTGCAAATTGAAGCCAGAACACTCCTACTTGCATGGCAGATAAAACAGTTAATGCTCCCAATGAGCTAAAACACTCTGGTGAAAAGAAAAATGGTAAGGCATGCTTGTTTCACATGATTTGGTGATAAAAGACCAGGTAACATCATTACCTTAGAGATCTGGACAATGCGATCAATCTCTGAATCAGCCATTTCTGAGATACATTTTGCTACATCAATATACATCTCCAGTTGGCCTCTCTGGAAACAGAAAAGTAAATGCATGTTCAGTTGTATATTTCCAGGTTTCTTCATTGTTAAAATTGGTGAGACCAGGAACTTCGTTAATGATCACGATGAATATTTAGTCTAGTCTCTAGCCTCGTTTTACTTATTCTATTTTAGAAATTCTGTATTTGCTGGGGACTTCAATGTACTTAATTATTAAGGGATCAGAAAACTTTCAAAGAGTTTGTTTTATTTTTAATGGAAAAGTGCCTTTGCTGGGAGGTATCTTCTGTAGCTAGATAGTTTCTTTAAATCACTGTGAGAAGCTTTAATTCTCTGTTGGGAAAAACACCCTTCTGATTGTTCCCTGCTTCTGTTTCAGTATTTCAATACTAATATCGTATTTTTCCATTACCAAATCATTTATGAGGGAAAAGTGTAGATTAAATTGGTTTCACAACTTAGTCATATTCTAAAGAATATCTGAAAGTAACTTAAATTGAAATTATGCAGGCATCTTAACTACTATCACTAAAAATTTTACATCTACTGCATGTTTCAAATCTGACAGGTCAATGCAAAAAGAAACCGTCAGTAAAAATATCCAGTTACAATGTTAATACACCTCATAGTTATTCCTTACCTGAATGTCATTTGGTAGAAGCTCAAATATTTTATCCACAGCTTGGCACAGAAAGCTCCAGCAGTACTGGGCAGGGTCTGGAAGTTTCATTGCCTGCATGAGCCCCTGTAAAACACACTGGCAAATTTCTCGGTTTTTTGTGCGGTTCTTCACTTCAAATTGTTGTATCAAAAACACTTCTATAAAAGACTGTAGTTTGTCTTCTGCAACATATTTCATCCACAGAGGCAGGGTCATGAAAAGGTATTTCTGAGTTTTCATCTGAAAAGCAAAAACTTTTGCTTAGTTTCAGATTCTAGCTCTTCGCTGACCTTCAACTATTGCTCTAAAGGACGAAATTACAAAAAAGTGGCTCAAACACCACTTAAAAAGAGCAAAGTCATAAATACTTCTCAATTCTTCTTGCCTCTTTTGATGAATTGCTTGAACTAAAGAGTTCAAACATGTCAATACTCTGTTTTCCTTAAAAATTGAGGAACTTTCTTTCAGTGAACCCTAGATACCATGTTTCTGTACACAGGACAATTGTGATTTCCCTATAGGGTGCCCACTGCATTCCTACATAAAGCATACAGACTGACTAGACAGCTAAGGATAGAAGCATGGTACCCCTAGCACCATTAATATTGCCAGCTAGTGAGGAAGAATGAATAATTACCTTGAAGGAATCAAAAGCTTACATACTCTGTGGCTGAGCTCATTTTGTGACCTCAAGTCCCCACCGTAGTGAGAAACTGGTGCTCAGAAATAAAATCTTTCTTTTTTTTTTGGTACCTTACCAATTACATTTCTTAAAATTGCCACCAAGTGTTTTTATAACTGGGAAGACTAATGAATTAAAAATTACAAGACAAAAATACCCCTTGAAGAAGAGAAGATCACAGAAATCCACAATGGATTTTCTGAGAATTGTCATGAACCTGCTTCTCAACTTGTATAAACTGACAGAACTGCACAGTCAAAGTGCACTGTGGGATTCAGGGAGTCTTACATACCGTATCATGGAATCCATGTTGTACCTCTGTAAGAAGGATAAGCCCAAATTTGGTTTTACTATAGGTTAGTCTATTGACTATTGATTATCTACAGAATTAATTTTCACGACGTGAGACGTTCTACTAGATCAAGAGACATTGCTGGAAGAAGCAGGCAAGCTTTCAGATAGGCTGGACCTTTTTCCTGAGACTATCAACTGGTAAAATAAAAGATACTTTTTCTCCCTACGTGCCATGCCTTCTTACATCTCTAGGTTAGCAGAGCTATAGCATGAAATGAGATAGAGGGAAAAGGTCTTATGCAATCTAAGTAAAACCAATGTGGCAGATCTTAAGTCTGCCTTGAATTTCAATGCCCCCAAATAGCCTTTCTCTTACTATAAATATTTGCTAAACAATATTTCTGCAGAATTCTGAAGCCAGTAACCCTTTTCTGGTGAGACATCCTAAACATCATCACTGAGGAATCTTATAGGAAAGAAGTGCTGAGGTCCCACAAATTTTCTGACATACGTACACTGAGATTGTAGACAAGGGGAGGCACCACCCACATCCCCAAAAGCATTGCTGCATTTTGAGATGATTGGGCCTGTGTCACAGCCAGTTGAAGGCAGAGATGTTTTACCTCATCACCTAAAGCAGAAGAAAACAAACAGAAGTTAAGAAATTATTTTCACTTTAAATTTGTTCTCAACTCATAAAATAAAGGAGGGTTATTGTTCTACTAGAGCACTACATTAAAATTTGCTTTTCTAGAGATGCTGCTTAAAGCTTTTAACACATACATGTTAGAAGTCTTCTCTTCCCATTCATGCACTTTCAGCAAGAAATCTCAGGATTTGTCCAAGTTCATTTCAATTCACTCAAGAATAAAAATGTGGGAATGGTGAGAAAACTAAGAATTAAAAAACTCCTTGCCAAATAAAGAGAAGATTTAATCTACAGAAGGAGAAATGAGTCAATGTTCCTTCCTGCTAAATGTAGGAGTAATTAGCATTTGTTCACACGTTTCTACTATTCCACGTACCCCATGTTCATATGTCACAGAACAGAGGTTAGTCACTGTTACTGCTGTGGATGCTTGGTTGCAGCTTTCTCCAGATTAATAAGTGGGAAGACCTTACTGTGCAAAGAGATTATGATGGTTATGGAATCCTTATTGGTTTCTCATCAAAATCCCCTTAATGCTTTGTACAGCCTGTTTCTTAATAGAATAACTAGTTATAAATATGTTGAAGAGGTACTTTGAGCAATGGCATATAGTTCATTATTGCTACAGCAACGTATGGACGAACAATTTAAGTATTATGCTAGCATTTGACCCATTAGACAGAAGATACACTACTGTTGGATGTCAGCATAAAACTTAAACAGGTGGATTGCAAGTTAAAATGTTCTTTCAGTAATGAAAGTGGCAAACTACATAGCACGACTTTTATAAGGTTCACTAACATTAGTGCATGAACAAAGCAAAGATTTAAGAGTCTAGTATCAGGCTCTTTGAAATAAAGTACCTTACATGAGAAGTTAAGTCATTTGCACAACTTGGAAAAAAATAACAAGATACTTTGGTAACCAAAAATTCTCTCTCACTAGCTTGGACTACTAAAACACAGATTATAAATCGACTATGACTGTTCATTTCAGAGCACTATTCAGTAACAAACAAGTACTACTTCAATCATGTTGTATGCTTTCTGCTCAGCAACAACTGCAATAAACCTTGTAAGATGGGAAAGCAATCTGTTGTCTTCGATATATTTACAGATGAACAAATATTCACAGTAGAATTTGTGAAATATTTAATGTTCATGAAAACACTAATGAATTCTCAGATATGAATAACAGTGACTTAGAGAATCAGGGGATTGAGCATATAGTCTAATTTTCATAAAAATATTAATGATATAG